ATTCTGACAGGCTAACGTTAGGAGATCCACGGATCCGTCAGGAGATCTCAATGAACACAAAAATCCATGGGTTCTAACAGTGCAATCAGTGCCTCCTCCAGGAAGATAGGTGCTAAAAATTATTGTCTTGGAAGGTGGTTGCCAACTAACGGACTATAACTCAGTCCTCACGGGGGTATTTTTGAGTAAGTGGACGACTGAAAGCCAGACTGTAAGGACTCCATTTTACTACGGCTCATTAAAGTAGTTCCTTCAGTGGGGAAAGGAGCCGGTAAACTGACACCCCCTCCCTCTTAAACCTCCAAATGGTGCTCGATTAATTCCACCACCGCCACATACTGTAGTGGCCGAGGACGTTGAGGTTGGCACACACACCTAAAGGTTTCTCAATATAACATCAGACGGGGTTGTTAATCACCGCAACAGACATACATAGGGAGATGAATAGGAATAACGAGTCAGTATTATATAAGAGCTGTTACAATAAAGTAATAAGTAAATGGTAAAAGTGGAGAGGTAACGATACAAGAGAATGTGAAGATTCTATTAAAACGATCGGTAGAATGGTAGTTTAGGTCCCATTTCAGTACGCGACAGCCCTATCCTTCTGCAATACAGAACCGGGGGAAATAAAGTATATACAGTCTGGAAGATACAAAGGAAAGGAAATATAGATTTAAATTTAAAATGTATGAAAGTAGAAAATGCAGAAATAATTATTTGAATGGCCTGATGTTTGTCGACAAAATTGCACCCCAGAATTATAATATGCAATAATGCAAATATTTGGAAATAAGTAAATTAAAAAATAAATGAACAAAATTACAACTAACTAAAAACGTAAACTAAAGTAAGCTAAATTGACTTTACTTTAAAAACAATCTAAAATAAAAATATTAAGCATAATAATAAACTGAAAACTGAACTTAAATATGAATAAGTTAAGTAAACCAAATAAAATAAACTAACTTAAATTTGTTGCGCATGTAAAATGAAGGTGTACGCGGCAATTCGCTCAGCGAACTATACTAATCTAAATGCAGAACGGTACGTTGGACCCCAGGTAATTTGAAGTAGACGACCTCCTAGCCAATTTTTCAGAAATATCAAGGAAACCAATAAACTATAAAGTAAGAGTAAATAAAAATGTCCAAATTTGTCACACCCAATAAAATATACCTAATTAAAAATATAAGTGAATGCCCTTGTTTATTTATAGCGTGGTATTTTGTTGCGAAAACATTAGATTATTTAAACAATTGCCGGGATCTAAAGTAGGATTCCACCAAACGATCATTTGGAGTGGAGGGTGGTCAAGAATTTTTAGTTAGATACCGGTGGGGAGTGAAACGCTGTCGGAAACTGCGGGTGGGGGTCCTGCAGGTGCTGACCGTAAGGAACTTGTGGTTGGTAAGATACGATAGCGGTAGCGGGGGGAGCGCTGTCAGCGAGGGGATAAGAAAAAGCACTGATCATCTTCACCAACAGACAATCAGGCCATCCTCATCCGGATCCGCGCTAACAGTGACCTTGACACATTCAAACAAGCATCTCGGCTCTGTGGTTCGTTAATCCCGATAAATATTACGACTGCATACTAGGTTCAAATTCTCTACATGCACGCATCGACCGCGTTATAGTATACTAATTCACAACAAGAGGAGGCGATCACTGGAACAAGAATTTTATTTTCCTGACGTTTCGAATTTCGTCGGGAATCCTTAATCATAGGTGATGGTAGCATAGTCATAGTCATGCACAGATAGGGTCTTAACGAGCATGGTTACTAGAATTAGCACTCCTGACATTGGCATACTACTTCTAGCAACTGTATCCTAGCTTTCGTAGTCTCTACTTTAGGAAAGACTGACACAGTTTTGGTGAATCGAGGTAGGGGGTTAAAAACCACGGCAAGCATTGAGGTGCTCCGAGTCTCAAACATCTACTTTACTCGGAATAACATAAATCCGGCGTACCAGCGTAAAATGCTAAGTTAGGCGGTGATTCTGACCTGCGCTGGAGAAAGCGGTATACGCCTGATTCCTGCTCAGTCATCTCGACTCTGCCTTGTCACCCTTTCAAGCGGGGAGAGGGTTTAGAGTGGCCTACATGGATATTCGTCTACTTTCACTACACCTGACTAGAGTCACCACCCCTGATGGTCAAACTAGCATGTGCAAGAGGTCCTTTCGGACTGTTTAATTGTATATTATGTTTCGGTACAATCGTTCTCACCTATGAGGCAGTAAGCAGTAGCAGCTGAAAGGGGAGAAGTTCAAACCTGCGGTGTAACACATGTGGGTCATCCCAAAGTTCCCAGCGTCAGCTCAAAGCAACCTTAAAGTCTTCTTCATTGATGTGAATTCCCGCGTGCAGGCCGGACACTTTTGCACCCTAGTTA